TTACTCAGTCCCTGAGCCTGTATCCTCCCGATGCCCTGGATTTACTTTGTTTCTTCCTAATTCTCCCAGAGTTGTCATTTCATCTCCATTCTCACCACCTCAAAGCCATCCAAGTTCTTATTCCCTCCCTTTGCAAAAATCTCCAAACTCATCCTCCTGTTTCCAGCCTCCACCATCTCCAACTTTCAGTACACAATTCACAACATTTGTCACTTTATATGCATGAGCCACTCACCCTGAACCTGCAAACAGTTAACCAGTGCCTGCAGAATAAAATTATTCTCCCTCTCATTCCAGGCCTCCTAACACTGTACTCACTGCCCCCCTTCTCTCTCCATCACTGAATTCACACTCCATAAACAAAATATTGGCTTCCCTGGTATCTCAGCAGATAAAGAATCCACCTGTAATGCAGGAGACCCCAGTTCGATTCCTGATTGGGAAAAGCCCCTGGAGAAGGGACAGGCTACCCACTCCAGTATTCAAGGGCTTCCCTGGAGGCTCAGACGGTAAAGAATCTGCCTGCAATGCGGGAGACCTAGGTTTGATGACTGGGTTGGGGACATCCCTTGGAGGAGGGCATGCAACCCTATTCCAGTATTCTTGCCTGGAGAATCCCCATGGACAGAGGAGCCTGGTGGGCTACAGTCCATGGGGTCACAAACAGTTGGACCCGACAGCGCAGCACAGCACAAATGTACATATATAAACACTATGCCTAGGCCCTGGATGTTCCTATTAGCTGGGAAAGTCTCCTTATTTTATTCCCACATGGGGTACACATGGTTGCACAGGTTTCGAACACTGTAGTTTATATAAATGATACCTTTCACCAGTGTTGGGCAGTGCACAACCTCAGCACCCTCCAAAGATGGCTTGTTTCCATCCTCTTCCACCTTGAAGACCTTCTCAAACAACGCAGCTGTTGATCAATTGTGCCTCTGATCCTACATTGCCAACCTGACACTTTTTCCTCACCAAAAAGAAAGCTGCAATATTTGGAATACCAATAGCACCTTAAACACAGCAGATACTCAAAAGATGTTTGCAAATTACAATGGGTAAGTTAACAAAGGCAGATTATGATTAAATGTTAAAGAGCCTTGGGGAATTCCCTGGCAGTCCAGTGGTTAGGACTCTGCATTCTCACTATTCAATCCCTCATTGGGGAGCTAAAATCCCGTAAGCCACTTGCTGCAGCCAAACAGAACAAAATAAAAGGTAAAGAACCTTCTCTCTTGGCCAAGAGAGAAGTTTTGACCTCATCTGGCAGATGCCAAACTTGGTCAAATGATCAGAATGATGTTTCAGACAAAAAGACTAATTTCAGCAGCCACAAGCAAACAGGGTTTGAGACATTGTTCTCAAAATACCACCTTAGCTCTCTGCTAGAGGTGGCCTGTGGGAAGCTCACTCTGCGATGTGCAGCCTCAAGTCAGTCAGTCATCTTTCAGTTTATCTATTTGGGATTACAGGTAATGGTATTCACATACCTACACTCAGAGTAAAGCTTAAAACTGGGCCATTAAGCCAAGAAAAACATTGTTTCTGCCTGAAATATCTGCGTATCTAGGAAACAGTTCTGACTTGAATAATTATATACATACATAAAATGCATATACACAAATTAAACATTTATCTTCCCCCTTCACTTCTTTTGCAGTCTTCCTCTTTTCCATCTGTCTTTTCCCTTTGTGGTTTCTTTCTCTTTCTCGCCCTAAAATTATTATTCATGTCTCTCATTTCTTTCCATATGCCTTACCTTAGTGATCTCCAGACTGCACTCCTCTCCTCCTCAAATGCCCTTTCTCCTACCAAAATTATTACTCATTTCACTGTTTTTGCTTATATAGTAACTTAGCCAATTCCGTTCAATATTTGTACTAATAACTCATTTCTCCTGTTTCCTTTGCTGATGTACCTTGAACTTTCACTAACCTTAGAATTCTACCATTACTAGTGAATCATTTCAAGGCCAATCATTTATGGTTCATTTTCCTATGGCCCTCTAAAAGAATCAAGGATTCTTGATGTATTTAGGTACATAAATTAATTTCATTGTACTGATGCAGTACCAAATAAGTAATTCTTTTTTTTTCCAAATAAGTAATTCTTTCCTGTAAATCAAAAAAGTCAGAACCTAATACATTAAACAAAATGAGTTTCCTAATGAATCTCCTTTCAAAGTATGTATCTTGGATTTTATGCCAAGGCAGCTTATCAGTAATGGACTCCATGGTCTCAGACAGTTTTTATTGTGTCTGAGAATTAAATAAAAATCTTTACTCTCCAAAGGAAGAATATTATGTGGAAGTAACACACTCCAGTATCAGGCACATAGTACCACTGGAACCATGCACATGTCTATGAGGAAAAGACTATCAGGCAAGCAACTGAATTTTTTTTTTTGCAAACTGAATTTTTTTAATGAATGGAAGGGGAATTTTAAATTAGGATCTAAGGTAAAACACGTGATACAATGATGTGTTTGTGCCCAAAGAGGCTGTCTCCCTTGAAAGTCCAACTTTCCTGTTTATTCCTCCCACCAAACATGCAAAATAAACTCACTAGTACTAAAAACAGAAGTATGTTATCACCACTGAAAAGTAAGCACCATCGAAGGAAAGATCAAAATATTTTTCTTTCATCCTAGTAAAGTGAAAAGAAAAACCACTAAATACTGTAATACTGTTTCTGGGTTTAGAGCAGTTTCCTTTTTTTTTCCCCCTCCTCAGCCTGAAGATCTTCTAGAAATCACATTGTGAATCTCTGGCACCAAATGGTGGACAGGTGCTTTACTAACTCCGTACTTGATAGGAAAAGGAGAGAAAAGGGCACAGACATCCATTATTTAAGAGTCTATCGCTAAATTAATCTTCTTTATCACAATTCCATTACAACATATTATGCAGCGTGTACTTGTGGGCAGTGTACAGCCGACCACACTCCATGATAACAAGGCTTCCTTTTTTCAAACACCATCAAAAATTGGCAAATAATTCAAACTGCTCTTAGCCCAAGGTTAAATTCTTGAATACTAACAACAGAAGTTCAGAGAAATCTAATTAACCGGTTCCTGTTTGCTCGAAAGTAAGCTGCAAAGATGAGAAGCTTGTCATCTCTATCTGCCCCTCCCCAAGGCTGGCGATTCACCTTCAAGAGGGGCGTCTAGTGTGCAGACCAGAGCCGGCTAGAGCTGGGGGAAGGGGCGGGAGGTAGTGAGGGCCAACCCAACCCCCTGGCTGACCGCTCCTGGGGCCTCGCTGGGCCCAGAACCCAACTTAGCTCGGCCTCCCAGAGGCAAACAGGACGGAGACTGGACCGACGGACTGGACGGACAGACGCGACAGGACGGACGCGACGGGCAGAGAAGCAGTGCATCCTACCCGGAGGGCTCCCTCCCAGGGCCGGCGGAGTACCTGCTCCGGTCATCCAGGCTGCGGTTGTCGGCCGCCGCGGCGCGCCAATCGGGCAGTGTGCTGGCGCACAGCACCACCATGGACACGATCACGAACACCACCGACACGCTGGCCAGGATCTGCGCGGCCAGCGACGACGTGGGCTCCTCGAAGGTCCGCCGCATGCGCTCCAGCCAGCGCCGGGAAGGGGCGGCCTCGGCACCGCCGGGTCGCGCCTCGTCCCGGCCCAGCGCGCCCGGCTCTTCGGCCGTGTAGAAGGTGTAAGTATCGGACATGCGGTCGTCGAGGCGGCGCTGGCAGCAGTACTCTAGGTGCGCGCCCTCCAAGCCCCAATAGATCATCTCATTGTAGAAGGAGAGCTCGCACATCCGCGGCGCGAAGCGCAGCTTGCCGTGGCCGCGGACGTAGAGAAGGATGAAGCCGAAGGCCTCCGAGTGCCGGTCGAAGAAGTACTCGTTGCGCTCGCGGTCATAGTCGTCGCACACCTCCAGCACGTCGCGCTCCGAGCGGCAGCCGTGCAGCCGGCTCACGCGCCGCAGAGGGAAGTCTTTCAGCAGCTCCCGGGACAGCGAGTACCGGGCGCCGCCCACGTTCAGCACCACCGAGGCCGCCCCGCTGCGCCCGAAGGTCATGGCTGGCTGCCCCGCAGCCCGAGGGCGCCGCCGCCGCCCCCTCCGGCCGCCGCGCGGGGCCTGCCTGCGGTTGGCGGACGGGAGAGCGCGCCGTCGGGGCCCGCTGGCTGTCCGGCCGGCTCTCCCTCGGGGCTCCGCTGCTGCCCTTCGCTGGCCCGGGGGCCCCTCGCTCTAGCCTTCTCGGCAGCCCAGCGCGGCTGCTAGCGACGCTCCCTCCGCTCGGCGGTCCCTGCAGGTGGCCGGGGAGTCCCCCTCAGGCGCCAGCGCTGCGCCCCACTGGCCGAGAAAGAGGCTGCCAGCGCCGCCGCCCCTCGCGCCTGGGGGATGCTCCCTCCGAGGCCGGGGTGCCCTTTCAAGGCGGCGGCGCTGTTCCCCCCCGGCCCCGGGGGCGTGTGCGCCGAGAGGAAGCGCGGGCGCTGGATGGCTCCGGGTCCCCGGCTCTCCCTCTGGCCGCGGATCCAGCAAGCGCCCCACCGCCGTCCAGAGGCAAGTGGCAAAGTGAGCGGGTTCGGAGGCGGCAGAGAGCCGGCCCCGCGAGGCGGGGGCGGGGCCTCCTCGCGGTTACCCCTCCTTGCCTCCTGGCTCCGCTCCGCTCACCTCCCTCCGCGCGCCGCCCTCCTCTTCCCACCCGAGCCCGCACCTCGCTCGGGCTGGGATTCCCCGGCGCCCCGCCCTGGACCTCGGGCTCCCCGCCTCGTGACGCCGTCCTCCCCCTCCGCTCTCGCCCGCAGTAGCCGGGAGGGGTCCGCGGAGCAGGGATGCGCCGAGCCTGGAGCCCCGAGTGGAAGGGGTAGAAAAGCCCCGCGCCTGGGGTCTCAGCTCCCGCGTCCCTCCCCGGACCATCGGGATGACTTGGGGAGTCCCCAAGGGCCCTTTTAACGGCCCCCCAAAAGGAGGCTGCAGGAGGGTAAGGAGGAGTGAGGACTGGGGTGCAGGATTTGAGGGGCGGGGACAGACGGCTCTGGGAGAGCTTTTTCCAGAAACTCTCCGGAGCCCAGCTAGGTTTTGAGACCGCCCCACAGGATTTCTCAAGAGAAGGCACCCCAGCAATTCTTTTCTTGCCGACTTTGTTCCTTTCTCTCCCGGCGCGGAGACCCACGTACCGCGTGCTCCGAAGGCGGCCACACATCCCAGCACCCAGCTTCGGTTGCCGCCTCTCTCGGAGGGGAGCGGCTCCATCCCCCGCTTTCTAGGTCGCCGGTTTTAAGAGAGCACCTAAGCCTAGCGCCCCTGGACCCCCTTGTGACGCTCCCTGTAGAGTGGGATGAAAATCTGGGGAGAATTGTCTTGCCACTGGCAAGAACAGAATTTTGCCTGATCTCCGTCTGCATCCTCCTTTTCATAATGTCTTAATTTCTCCTGTGCACCTCCGAGCCGGCTGCAGCACCGGCCCTCGCGCTTGAAGAGCCCTTTCAGGCTCCGCGGAGGGTACTTCCCTGGGCACTGCTCGATGCCCTGGGAGTGGGCTCCACTGGGCAGGGACTATTTTACACTGCTCCAAGCAATTCACACGACCTCCGGCACTGGCAGCCCTGCTCGCGCAGTACCCGCCAGAGGCGAAACAGGTGAGTTTTAAGGCAAACTGTTAAATGCAAAACGTCCTGAAAGGAAAAAGAAGAGTGTGGTGGGGTGAGGTGGGATGCGGTGATCTGACTTCAGAGTACACCCAGCTGGTTACTGGGAAGGGTTTTACTTGCCCTTCACTTTTCATAATTGTGTAGGTTTATCTAGTGCCCACTAGAGGTCACCAGAAAGAGTCGTTTTGCTCTTATTCTAGTGTGGATTCTTACACCTAAAAATTGGAGTGCTCACAAAGTAAAATCACTCTGTGTTTTTTGTGCCCCCTTTTTTTTTAAATGAAGCATAGTTGATTTACAATGTTCCAAGCGTACAACGAAGTGATTCAGATATATAGAGATAAATATGTAGAGACACTGTATATATAAATTTTCAGATTTTTTTTCCATTAAAAGTATTTTCAAGATATTGAATATAGTTCCTTGTTGGGTGGTTTCTTAAAGAATGAAAATCTCTATAAAAATTTTTTATATCTAGACTTGATAGACCTTAAAAGCATTTAATGTGATTAAAAACTCAGAAATGGGAGTTGTTTACTTGCTAAGCTGCTACTAAACTAGAAAAACATCCTGAAGGAAATGTTTCAAGACAGAATCAAAAGAAGTGATGGCCGTGAACTGGCAGAGAGAAAGAGCAGAGCATGTCTAATAGCAAAATCGCAGGTGTGGAGATTAAAGCCTGAAATATAGCTAATGCATTGCTTGGTGAAAGCATGGGGCTCTCCACTACAGACAGCTTTCATCCAGGAAGCTAATGGGATCCCTGAAGGTTTTTTAAGAATAGAACTGACTCGATCTCAGGAAGAGTCACTTGCCCCTTAGGTTATTCTAAGGAGGAGGCACTTCTGCAGCCAAGAAATGGAAACCCCACCCCTGAATCTCTGTAGAAAAGGAAGGGTTCATTTCTGAGAAACACTGAGACCAAGGACTCAGCACAGCTTGGCAATGGATTTGTTCTAGAATATGAAGATGAAGAAAAGTTTGCTGCTGCTAGTGGAGTGAAGAGCCTGGCCGATTCCTGGCCGAGGAGCAAGAGCCGATTCCTCAGGGAGTCGTTAAAAATACTTTCTAGAAGCTGTACAGGCAACAGAACACAGAGCAACTATTTTGTTGATTATTTGCTTCAACATTACTGTATTTATTTCCTATGTTCTCTATCTAAAATCCTTTTAAAGTCTATTGATAGGACCAGTCGAAGAAATATAATATTTTAAATTACATTTGAGCTTAGAAAACCAATTAATTTGATGACAGTATAATTTGTGTCTCCTAGGTATATTTTCATGAGATATCTTAGAGAGATAGGTTTAAATCACTTCATTTGTTTCAAGAGTAATATTCTTATTTGATTTTAATGTCGTCAACCGCTACTACAGCAACAATAACCCAAGTCATTTTCTTAAACAAAGAAAACAATAAGATGCAGAAATGATTGGCTTGTCTCGATATAATCTGGTTTAAAAAGCATTCTTAAAAACAATTTTATTCCTCTGTACTTGAAAAAATCTGTTGAGAATTGATATTGTCATTGTTGTTGAGAATTATTACATTTAAATTCTTTTCTGGATTCTAGATGATATTTAGGGTCTTCATATGTAAATCTTTAGACTTCATTGGGCATCAGGCAGAATTTTAGAGTTTGACAGAGATTTTCTTGTGTCAATTTACAAGCCCATTATTTGGGGAGGAGGACCAAGGCTTCAGAGATGTGGCTATAATTTGCCCAAGGTCCCCAGCCAGCAGCATCATGGTGGAGACAAGGCTGGAGCCAGGCTTTCTAGTTCCAAACCCTAAACCCTCGGTTTCCAGGGCCTGCACGACTTTGCTGCCACAACTTCCTGTCTGATCTCTGCACTCCAGTTCTTCCCTCCATCTGTGAATCCTGTATCATGCCACTGAATAGCTCTTCCTTTTCTTCATTTTCATCAAGTCATTCCCCAATTCAAGAATCAAAAGTGGCTAAGGATCTCTACAATTACAAACTGGCCTGGAAATAAAGTCCACACTGGTTCTTAGGACCATCTCTAGATTCATATCCTGGCTGCACAACTTATTTGCTAAGTGATCTGAACCAAATTCCCTGACTTCTTTAAGGCTCCATTTCCTCATCCTTACAATGGAAATAACATGGCTCCATCAAAGGGGTGATATGAAATGAAATGATGCAAGAGTGGTATATGCCTCTATGCATGACAATGGGAAAAAAAAAAAAATCTCACTTTGTGTGTGCCTCTACCAGCCCAAGCAGGTCATGCTCATTTTCACTCCTGGGTTATAATTAAATGCAAATCAGACAGGGGCTTCCCTAGTGGGTCAGGCAGTAAAGAATCTGCTTGCAGTGCAGGAGACCTGGATTCAGTTCCTGGGTTGGGAAGATTCCCTGGAGAAGGAAATGGCAACCCACTCTAGTATTCTTGCCTGGAAAATTCCATGGACAGAGGAACCTGGTGGGGCACAGTCCATGGAATTGCAAAGAGTCGGACATGGCTGTACAGTTAACACTTTCACACTTTCACAAATCAGGCAAGTGAATTGATTCATCTAAAAATGTGACCAATCACAAAAGGTAACCCGAACCATCAAAATTTCAGTAAAAAGTTGTGACCTATATACTGCTGAGCCTAGACTGAACTGAATTCCTCCATTACCTTGCACTGCACAACTTTCTGTGTTCAGAGTCCATGAGCAAGTCTCACCTCTTGAAGCTTCATTTCCTCATCTGGAAAGTGAAAGTAATAATAAGAGTTTTGGAGGAAGCTGAGCTTGTGGTGCCACACAGAAAGGGCTCCCAACACCCTGCCCAAAGCTTTATACATTGAAATGCCCTGTGGGCACCGCTGGTCCTTGCAACTTACTTACCAACTGTGCCTTAAAAAGCCCTGACGCAAAAAAAAAAAAAAAAAAGAGAGAGAGCCCTGGCTCTGCCATTCTTTTCTATTTTCAGAGGTTTATGTTTACACCATTTTATTTCTCAGCATCTACAGTGGTTCCTTTAAACAGTCAGCTTTTTGAATGGAAACATAACCTTCCACGGGCTTTCCCAGTAGCTCAACTGGTAAAGAATCCTCCTGCAATGCAGGAGACCCCGGTTCTATCCCAGAGTTGGGAAGATCCCCTGGAGAAGGGAAAGGCTACCCACTTCAGTATTCTGGCCTGGAGAATTCCATGGACAATGGGGTTGCAAAGAGTCGAGACTGAGCAACTTTCACATAACCTTCCAGTGTCCCTGATTTTATGTAAGGGGAAGACACTAATGATTTCATCCGCTGTGCACAATTACCCTTGTAGAAGGGAAAGCTACAGCTTTCAATAAACTGCCCTCAGAACTGTCCCACCACACAGACCCTGTTCTTAAAGGGGAGAAGCCACCAAGAGATGTTTCACCCCCATCCCACACCAAAGTCCTTGCCTTTTTCTCTGCTTCCTAACACTTTGTGCTCTCATGCAAGCAAAAGGAACACTATCTTCTTTAAATGTCCAGCCTTGAGAAAGTCACTGTGTAATCATTAGGTGGGAGGCAAAATTTTACCTCTACCCTCTCAGTGTTTTTGACTGAGCTTGAGAATTAGATTGACATAAAAACAGATTAACAGGAGAAAACCATGCACATTTACTTATTATAAATTTTACATCAACACCAGAAGGAAATGAAGACCCACAGAGGTGGCAGTACCTAAATGCTTTTATATGAGGTTTGAACAGAGAGGCAATGATAGAAAAGTAACTATATGACAAGGCTAAAGGAAGATAAGAATTATCTTAACAAAGTGCATTTATACAGAATTCTCTCCACTTCAGCTTCTGCCCTTGATGATAAGAATGGTACTTTCCTCCTGGTATAGGGAAGACAATCTTTCAAATGGGAGTTTTATCTCCTGCTTTTAGAAAGAAAAGGGGGAGGGTCAGAGCACCCTTTTTGTGCCTGAATTTTTAAGTACTTAAAATAATCTGTATGCCAAAGTGACACATTTTGGGGTGGCCTATTGTGCTATTCTTCATCATTAGCAGCAAAAAAACATTTTTGGTGCCATTACAGAAAGGCCTCTCCACTTTACCTTCACCCAACCCTCACACCTTTTCATACTGGGAAAGATTGAACGCAGGAGAAGGGGATGACAGAGGACGAGATGGTTGGAGCATCACTGACTCAATGCATGTGAGTTTGAGCAAGCTCCAGGAGTTGGTGATGGGCAGGGAAGCCTGGCGTGCCGTAGTCCATGGGGTCACAAAGAGTCGGACGTGACTGAGCACCTGAGCTGAACTGAACTGAACCCTCACACCCATTCTGCTGCTACGTTGCGTTAGGATGTGATGGCCCTTCTGTCCACCGTCACTCCAGGTATCTTGCTTCTTTTTCATTTTTTGTGGCTGCGCTGGCTCTTCACTGTGGCCCACAGGCTGTTTGTTACTGCGTACAGTCTCTCTAGTTTTGGCGCCTAGGCTCAGTAGTTGTGACGCTTGGACTCAGATGCCCTGCAGCATGTGGGCTCTTGGTTCCCAGGCCAAAAATCAAACCCATGTCCCCTGCATTGCAAGGTGGATTCTTAACCCTCTGGACCACCAGGGAAGTCCTCAAGTCTCTTACTTCTTTCTTCCAGTGACCAAGAGCTCTTTCTGCTTGCCACCACCAGCTCAGCTTTCCACAGAAACACTTTTACTATTACTCTCATTTTCCAGATAAGGAAATGAGGCTTCATGAAGTTAGACTAGCCCAAGGATCCACAGCTCCTAGTAAGTACCAGACCCAGGAATGAAACCCAAAGTCTCTACAGGCTCTCTTGCCTCCCATGCTGGCTCATCACCAGCTGCTCTCTACCCAGCATCAGACACCCCTGGGAAGGGAGGAACAAGTTAGGTGATACCAGAGGGAGCTATCTGACAAATCTTGAATGTGGGTCATTCTACAAGATAACCAGACTTCAATAAGTCACTTTCATATCCTGAAATATTTAAGGGAGAGATGATACAATGCCTGCTATTTGCTTCAA